TAATGTGGGATTCTGAGAGCTGTTCGTAATATCTAGAGTGTCAAAGATTCTTCATCCCTGATTTACTCCAATTTTTTTGCTCACAACAAAAAATTCAAAGCTACAACTTCTCCATCAGATGGCTGCCCTGCGTGTCTAGAGATTTCCGATGAGCAAAAACCCAGTAAATCAGTTCTAGCTGTCAAGCTGCTCTTAATGGAAGGAACACTGAAGTAGCATTCACACGAAATTTATACAACCCAAGGCCCTTAAGAATTCCAGAAGATTAGGAGACACCATCACAAAAAACACGTTTCCCATGACTTTAATGATTTTAATGTTGAAAGTGGGGACAGGTCGAACGTAGGCTTTGTGGGATATCCTTCTGGATTGTCTGCATAATAACCAGCTCTCCTTACCCAGCTGTGGGTGGCCGAACAGTAATTGCAGTTGGCCGCAGCCCTGGGGTCTGCCCCAGGAGCAGCTGTGCTGTCTCCACAGTATCATAGGGTTCATCATTGTCCTAAAAAGAGACCAAATTTAGAAGTAGAGAACAATTCTTTACCCAACAACCATTCTTTACCCTTCACCGGAAGATTTAAATTAAACAAGACCCACTGGACTACATATATTAATCTGCCAGAAATGGGCAATATTTGGCTCTTCAGATGTAGCTGACAACTACAACCTCTTAGTATCCTAATGGAGAATAAGTAAAACATAAGGGCAGCTATAGTTCAGCAACATCTGGAGGGCTGCAGGTTGCCCACCGCAATACAATTCCAATATGTTAACACTAAATGGGTGGCTGCTATTATTAAAATGTTTTTTTAACGGAAACCTATTTAACAGATTAACAGAGTTGGAAGGTACTTGTAGGTCATCTAGTCCAACCACCACCACCACCCGCCCAAGCAGGAGACCCTACACCATTTTTAAAGTTTCTAACTGTTAGGTTTGTAGAAATATATCACACACATACACACACATACATAATATCATCAACTATAAAAAAAAAAACTGAGAATGAGCTAGGTAAAGCAAAACATTGCAAAAGTGAGAACTATATTGGATCTACGGAGACCTATGTCTACAACGGACTCAGCAGAGCTTATCCTACAGCAGGGCTGCCCAACCATGGCAACTACTTCAACTCCCAAAACATATCTGGCTGAAGAATTCTGGGAGTTGAAGTCCACAAGTTTTAAAGATGCCAGTTTGGACACCCCGGTCCTATAGCTCCAGTCACGTATTTTTCCTGCAAATTCTAAATGGATTTTTATGCAATGAAACATTTCCCAGTTCCTGTTATAGCAATCTAAATTAGGTTGGCTAAACTGGGAAAAGTTAAGCTGAAAGTCACCTCTTCTTAATCTGGTGGCGGGGGGGTGGGGGGGTGGGGACAGACGGATCCATGCAGGGGTGGGTTTCTACCGGTTCTGTCCACCTCTGTAGAACCGGTAGCTCTGAAGAGCAGCAGACATAGAACCAGTTCTATGTCTGCTGATGTTTTTGCCCACCCACCCACCTGGGCTCTTTCCTGATCTTTATTTCCTGATTTTTCAACTTCAGCTGCCGAACAAGGCACAGCTGCAGTTGAAAAAGCAAGAAAAGAGGGCTATTTCAAAGGCTGCTTCTCTGCACGCAGCGTGCTGATGACGATTTACAGGCGTGGCTCGCAGCATGCAGGGAAGCACATCATAAATCACCGAACCTTGTAAATCCCGAACCGGTAGTTAACCCTGTCGTATCCCACCCCTGGATCCATGCAACACTTTCTCCACACAGACAGAGATGAGAAATGGCCCGTCTCTGGCCTTGTTGCTGTCTGCATACCTGAGCCTTCTTGTAGGAATACATTGTCAGCAGCATATTGACCTTCTGTTCAATTATGCTCAGGTAAATGGCAACGTTCTCATCCTGAGCAGTTGTTGTCCCACCCAGCACTTTTTCCAGCGAGGAATGGTCACACTCCAGTTTCCAGAAGAGAGACTCAATTGCTTTGAGAGAGAGGGAGGGGGGGAAGGAAAGTGAATCCTGATGCTTGCCAGTAACTGCCATGTCCTTCAGAAAAAAAGCTTAGAGATCTACTAGGTGCAGCTTTCGCCTGCCCCAAAGATAAGGTAAATTAATCAACCACTCTGCACTGCACTTGTGGGGAACCTGCTTCCAACACCAATTTCCATAGATAGACCTTGTCTGATCTTCTGTCTAGGATTTGGCATGATGGATGGTGAAATGGTTGGTTTTCCAAGATAAAGGGAGACTGAAAAGAAGGGAAGCCAAAAAAATATATGCTACAAGCTTTTTAAAGGCCCACCTGCCAAACTTACAAGTTGCATACATATGTGGTGTTGGAAAAAAAGGCTTCTTTTATGTTGTCTGACAGAACTGGCCATCAAATCTACCAGATGAGTCAAGGTTTTCAATTTTGAGGAAAAAAACACTCTTCTTTTTGACACTACACTCTTCAAATGCCCTGCCCACTAACAAAGATGAGTGTGTAACCTGTGGCCTTTGGAAGTTGGACTAAATTCCCCTTTCCATTGGCCATATTGTCCAGAGCCAGTGGGAATTGGTATCCACTTTGCCCAACTTTCTACTCAAAAAAGGAAGTGTCTTTCTACCCCCAGGTTATCCCCATACCATCTGAGCCACTCTCGGCAAGCAGTTTTTTCAGTTGATCAAAGAACAATCAGCCAGTCATAAACCAATCCTCCGTGCCTCTTCTTATCCTCTTTTTCCTCTCATGGTTCAACCGTAACTGTTTCAGTAACTACTGAAGCTAAGTAAAAAAAAATATTTCTAGTGCTAAAAAACAGAATGTGACCATATTTGTAGGACCAGTATTTACTGGAAGAAAGAGATACATAAGTGAACCCCCCACCTCACTATATCAGGTCATGATATGTCACACTAAATAATGTTGGCCTACCACTTGTTTGGATCATACACATCTGCACATGCTCGCTGCTTTTACTGCGAGGGTGCAGCATCTGACACAGAATATGGCAAGGAGAGCTAATCTAGTGCTCATTGCTGTCAACACATGAACTTTGATGTCCATTAAGCTTCCTAGTTCTCCCAATATATGCTGTCCATCATCGTAGGTGGCTATAATTAAGTTTTTGATCCTGAAGTCTGTTGGCTTCACATACATCAATTTTAAAAACACAAGGAAAACAACGGTGATGAGGGGACTGGGGGCAATCTTGGGTACCAGGGAGGAGCTGTGGCACCAGTGCTAACTTAACTGATGACCTGAAATTCTACAATTGGTTGTGATCATCCTGGCAACAATCACAATAGGTGGCACATTCCCAAAAGATAGTGCACTCTTGGGAGGAATTAAAAAAAGGCATAGCTGTCATGAGCCAGTCCCTATCTGCAAAGCTTTGGAGAAAAGCTTTCTCATTATTATTCAGTTGCAACTCCTTTTTCTCCCCTCATTGCTCACCACTTTTAAGCTGTTCCCAAATCTTGAGGAACCTTTTCACATTCTGTTCAGCCTGATTGGCCTCTTTCACAGTGTCCTCCTGTTGGCCTTCAATTTCGTGGAGCTGCAACAGCTGCTGGGCCTCCCTTTGACTGTTTCGCTTTTGAATCTCCTGGATCTCATGACAAAGCTGGAAAAGTGAAGATAAAAGATGAAAGGAACTTATTTTTACCAACTGCAGAGACATAGACTGTCAAAGATGGAAGGGGCCTGGGAGATCATTTATACTAGCCCACTATTTTGTTCAGGAATCCATTACTACAGCATCCCCATCAGAAAGACATGAGGCCCCTGTTTAAATACCATTCTCCCAAGTTAGTCTGTTCCACTGTTGAACATCTCTTACTATTAAGAAATGTTATCTGATGTCGGGGGGAAAGAGAGTGAAAGGTTTAAGATTAGAAAAAACAACCAAAAAGAAGAACAATTTGAAAGATAAGTATAATATTAGAAAGCAACAGAAGAGGGGATTACAGATGAGAGAGTTAGAAGTAGAAAGATGAGGGGATGAAAAGGGGAGGGAGAAGAAGAGGGGGAAGAAGGCAAGGAAAAGAAGTTGTAAAAGACAGAAATAAGAAATGGAGAAACAGGGAAAAGATATAAGGATTGTAACCATAAGTTTGTTTAGAGATAATGGGTGAAAATTTAATTGTAAAAGGGATTCTGCAAAGGTACATAAGATAGCTTTGTTATATTACAAATAGAAATAACTTTAGAAAATATGATGATGGATAAAATATTTATTGTAATGCAGTGGGATGTTTGTTAATAAATAAATGAATTAAAATGATTGAGAGAATTAAAAGGGAACATTTTTAATTATTAGTAATGATTTATAAAAATATAAGTGAGAAATATGGGGGGCGGGGAAAGAATTAACTATGGAAAGTTTATAAGTGTTCCCAAGGAAGTATGATATTCAATTGAAAAGAAATGTTAAAGATTTTAAGATTTTAATTTATATTAATGATAGAATTGAATTGGAATGGAATGTGTTTTATTTACATATATATATATTTTTTTTCTTTTTAAGAATATAGTGTCTATTTTAAGAATGTACCAAGCAGAATTCGATTGGAAGTTATGTATTATATTGAATGCTATAATCTTAAAGCTATACATTGAAGCTTAAATAAGAGCTTGAATGGATAAAATTAAAGGATATAAAGGTGTCATACTCTAATTGGTAACTACAGGGAAAAATTTGTTTAATAAGAAAAGATAATGTGAAATTGTAACAGGACAGACAAAAGTATAAATATAATGATTTGAATTGAGATAATCAAAACAAAGTTGAGAAAATTAGAAGAGGGGAAAAACTATGTAGAAAATATAAAATGGTAATAAGATATGGAATAGAATATAAAAATGAGCATGAAATTGAGTTTTGTATCTGTACGAAGAAGTGATAACCTGGGACCATGCTATTTTCAAAAAAGATGTTTTATTTGTATTTTGTTTTTGTGAAAACCCAAATAAAATTTTCAAAAAAAAAAAAAAAAAGAAATGTTATCTGATGTCCAGCTAAAACATCTTTCTTATTTAAAGTTGTTCTTTCTCGATTTCTAGAACAATTCAGAACAATTCTTCCCTTCCTTCTACATGATGGCTGTGCAGATATTTGAAGATAACTAAGGTATCTCAGAGTTTTTTTTTCTGTAGGCAAACATCAGCCATTGTTTCCAACTGTTCCTATTGCTCTTTCCAAGGCCCTCACCACCACCACCCTCACATCTTCCAGTCTGACACTCTGCTTCCTAAAATATTCCAGACCTGCTGCAAAATAGGGGAATGACAAGTTCTCTCTTGTACTTTTGTTCAAGCAGCTTAGGACAATAATTGCTTTTTTTTTTTTTTTTTTTTGCAGCTACATTACACTATTGGCTCATGTTTGGCTTGTGAGCTATCAAGATACTCAGTTTTTTTTTCATATATACAACTTCCTATTTATTTATTTGTTTATTTAGAACTACCCCCACATTACGTGCCTTTGATTTGTCCTATCTAAATGCAAGATTTTGCTTGGGCTGAAAAACAGCAAGATGAATTTCAACCAACTTTCAACTTGTTAAAATCCTTCTGAATTCTGATATTACCCTCATCTTTGTTACACAGCCATGATGAGCAATGGTTAGAATCGAGTATTGCAAGCCAATTCTACCCAATGCCAGGAGTTCAACCTTGATTGTCTCAAGGTTGATTCAGCCTTCCATTCTTCTGAGGTCAGTAAAATGAGGACCCAGATTGATGGGGGCAATATGCCGATTCTGTAAAATGCTGAGAGAGGGCTGTAAAGCACTGTGAAGTGGTATATAAGTCTAAGAGATCTTGCTATTGCTATATCTACAAACCTGACAATCAAATTTGCCAACTCCTCATCCAAGTAATTTATAAATATGTTGGATATGCAGAGTCTAGAATGGAAGCCTGGAATACTGCAATTATTCCTAACAGGGAATAACAGGATGCGCTCATATTCATATATGCATTTATAAATTTCAGCTAATTCAAAGATAGATGGATAGCACTTCAGTTGGAGTAGTTGGTAAAGTCACAAAGGCAGTCACCTAGAAAAAACATACTGCCCTTCTTAAAAATAAAAAAAGGAGAAAGGAGAGGAGAGACAATCTTTTCCACTCACCTCATGAATTTCTTCCCATAGTCGGTCCTTCTGGCTATTTTGTTCATTGACGTAGTTGAATTGAGCAAAATTCCTTTCCCTATCTACAGAGAGAAGGATAAACATTATAGCAGTCAATATATTAATAATCAGGGCTCAAATTTCCAAGGGGCACTGGAGGGGGAATAGCTCCCAAATGTCCCAGTCAGTGGGCTCTTCTTAAGGCTGACCGACCTCGGTAGGCTGAGGCAGTGAACACTATCTAGTACAATGATCCTTTAAAAAAAAAACCACTAACTGCCATTCCCATACATCACCTTTAACAAATGTATCCAAAGCCATATTCAGATCATTTGAGCCAGTGAGCTCCAGGAGTTTATCAAAAGCATTGCAGTAAGATTCAAGCAACTCTTCTTCACTGTCTTTCCGTCTGCGTTCTTCTTCTATTGAAAGAAAAAAGAAAGAAAGAAAAGACCCCAGTTCTTCCTCTAACTTTACATGTGCTAAATCTCCTTTCTGTAACTCCCAAATCTGCAGTGGCCAGAAATAGTTGAAACCTGTCCCTTCGTAAGGGCCTAAAGTCTGAACACACATTAAAAATAAAAAGAGAACTATTACAATTTAATCACATTTTGGTAGATCCAAGACATTTATGTTACCATTAATAAATTTTAATAACATTTTTCCACATCTGAAAAGGAGTGAGTTTGTGATCATGACAAAAGCTGAATTTGCTTTCATTCATATTTAATATGGTCACTCCCAAGTCACATCTGTAATAATTTCCCCCTTTTGTCTTATTAAAAACTGCAATTAGATAACATCTGGCAGTCTCTCAGAGGGTCCCACATGTGCACCACTGCATTACAATAACCAAGTCATCAGGATATTGGAAAAGAGACCACTGGAGCCAAGCTATCCCCATCTAGAATCACAACAGTACCAATTATGGTCCAAAGGCCTTCCCATTTCATCAAACAACAGAATATTGATTGTAAACTCTTACATTATTTCTAAGTACCATCTTTGAAGAGGCCTTTGGCCATTTCTTAAATAAACTTCCTCTAAGATCTATACGAGTAAATGAACCCTGCATCTTCTTTTCACTGTGCATTTAAAAATAGACAGCTAAACTGTCTAAAATTCTTCTGACAACCAATTGATCTTCCTTTACAGTGTCCTGTACCAGAAGTATAAAACACTTGAGTAAATAATTCATAATTATCACATAACTGTTTACACAGTGGTCCTTTTTATCCACTTGGTTAATTTTAAAGTTTTAATTTTCAGCGCCCAATATCTTGCTCTCTGATGTGAAGTTGGCTCCAACCCTCCTATCTTTTTGTAAGGGCCTAAAGATGTGGCAGTGCCGGCTAGCTTGGGGGCCCCAGTGAGGGATGAGCACAATAGAGGTATTTGGTTGAGTAATAACAGTTCCCACCTAGCCCTCCACCTGCACTGCACCCCCATCCTTCCCGTGTGTGTTTGGTTGTAAGGTTTGATTGTAATATTTTATGTTTTAGCTTATATGTAAATTCAAGCTGCCCAGAATTACTCTATAGTAAAATGGGCAGCCAATAAATTTTATAAATAAATAACATAAAATTAATATTTTAATTATTTTAACCTTTGAACTTCTTTATACTTCTATTTATGGCATTGGAAAGTGCCCAAAGTTGCTTGATAGTGAGATGAACAGCATTTAAATTTAATAAATAAATAAAATGGCTTCCTTCCACTAATGTGACAGGGGCAGTTACTCAGAAGGTTGAATGCCAGAATGACTTGCTTTTAAATCAATGCATCCCTACTGGCTCAGAGATTGCTTTCTATGGCTTCGAAGTCACCTTCTCCTGCTAAAGATGGAAGCCTGCAAGTCAATAAATACACACGTTTCTTTGCTTTGGCTTTCAGTGCTTCTTCAGTGAACGTCCTTTCCTGCAGCTTGATGTTGACAAATTCAGACATGCGCCGATCATTCTCCAGGAAGCGCTCCAATTCTTTCATCTCAGAGACATACTGCTTTAAGTCCTTCTCTGCTTTGTCCTGCAGCTGGCCCAAACGGGCATGGGCTTCATCCCTACATTTATCCCAAAGAAGAAATAAGGGCAAGATTAAAGAGGTGGGCAGAACCAAGAATCCCAGTTCCTAACTTCTCTTCATAAGGTCAGGGCACAGATGATTCCATTTGCAAAGAAGCTGAAAGCACCTGTGGGCCAGAAAGCTCCATCCAACTTCAGCCCAGCAACCTTCTCACAATGGAATGAGCGCAGGCTGAATTCCTGGCATCTATAATTAAAAGGATTTCTGTTAAATTTGAATCCCATCTTATCTAGCCTGGGATCTTTCAGTTACATCAACTGCGGATACTCCACTTTGGGAGGTGGAGGGAGAAAAGGGATGAGGTTAGGGAGAAGAATCCCTAATGTCAATGAAATAAACTTCATTCAGCAGACTGAACCTTTAATTCACTAGTATTTAGGGCTCCAATCTCTCTCCCCTTTGCTTCTGCTTATTAATATTTGCCTTTCTTCCTTATGGCTTTGTTTTAGAATTATGGAATAACCCTTGTGGGTCTTCTAGTCTAACCCTCTGCTTGAGCAGGAAACTCTATATAATTCTGGACAGAGGTTGTCCAATTTTTTCTTGAAAATCTCCAGTGACAGAGCTCCCACAATTTCTGGAGACAAGCCTGATTAATTGTTTTGTCAGGAAACTTCTCCTTAATTCTAGGTTGGATCTCTCTTTAATAATCTCCCATCTGTCACTTCTTGACCTGACCTCAGGTGCTTTGGAGTCTAAGTGAACTCTCTTTTCTCTGTGACAGTCCCTCAAGTATTGGAAGACCTTCTCTTCCTAGTCCTTCTCGTCACTAGACTAGACATATTTGTTCCCCACAACATTCATCTTACAGTTTGGCCTCCAGATCCCTAATCATCTTTTTGCTCTTCTCTGCACTTTTTTTAGAGTCTCAATATCTTTTTAAGTGGATTGCTTAAAGTCAAAAGCAAACAACTTAAAATCTGGACAGTCCATTAAATAACAAACAAGCAGGGTGAATAATAACTTCTGCCGCCCAGAAAGAGAAGGCATATAAATTTATAAATAAATAATAAAAGGAGAAGGCCTCTGACCCACTGCGGTGCTCAGGTGTGAGAAAGACAGCAAGAACTGAGCCTTACTTCTGCTTTACGTAGGACTGCTTGCATTTTGCCTTTGACACTTGCTAGATTTCTTCTCAATGGTTTCTTAGTTTTTGCTATAAACACATTGATCATATCATGAATCACAGCCTACAAGCACAGGCACCGGAAATAAGTCACAGCAACATCAAAATGACAAGTGTGATGTGATGCCACTGCACATATAACACAATTAAGTACTTGGATTTGGACATCTGAGATGAATACCTGTCATATTATTTGTGTCAAGGAACATGTGTTGTCACTGCCCACCTGCTGCAGATGCCCATGCCTGCTAAGCTTGTAGTTCTAACTCTTGGCTGGGAATCAAACTAGACTCGAAACAGCTCTAAGAACTCAAGAATCCAGATTCCTAGCTTTTTCTACTGTATTATATTGTGTCACCTGTCTAAGTATTCTGGGATGGATTAGGCAAGGGGTGATAGAAAGCATCAAATATGAGACTATACTCCACCCTTAACTTCCAATTAATTGAGACTGGCTTCACTAATCATGCTGAGCCATGATATGCTTATCCAGGTTTACAATATAAGCCACAATTGGGTGGATTCTAAACCAAAATCACAATTTACAAACCACAATGGTTGTGTTTTACACATACATCATATGATGTAAAACAAACAAAATATTAAACAGTTATTATATTTATGTAGTTACTTACCAAGCACGTCTAAATTATATTAAAGTAACCAAAATATATTTACAATCCCCAAGATATATCACAACTTTTGAGCACGCCTAACGTTTGGAAATTGAAAGCTGAAAAATTTGACAAACCCTAAATTGTATACTCTGCCTCAGTTTCTAGTTCTTCTGTTTATGGAAGGGTAGGAAATCCAACAGTAATGGACTAAGAACACCAGAACGAGGGTAGACTTTATAATTTGGGGTATCAGAGTACCAGAGGCAGACTGCAGCGTTTACATCACCTTCAGCCAAAGTCACAATGCAAGGTTATCTTTATGGTATGGTTTGCACACATATACAGGGAGCGTAGAATTTCAAAGCAGACTGTATTTTACATAATGTAAATGGCCACTTTTGATATTAAAGAGATAATATTACAAGTTTGAACTTTGAAGAAAGCATGGCTAATAATGAAGAAACTGCCACAATGCATGGATAGAGTATTCATGAAGAATATCAAAAAGCTTCACTGCGATGCCCCTGCCAATGAAAATGGACCTCAGGAGGGCCCTTGTAGCCAAAAACAGAGCTGGGGAGCCCATTTTCTTTGAGAACGCTTGGGCCACCATAGACACCCCCATCATAAGTGATGTTGAGCCCCCCCCCCCCCCCCCGAGGTCAAACACAGCCCTCAATGAAATCGAGTTTGATACCCCTTAGGTCACTTCAGGTGAGATAGGCAGCCATATCAATCAGACAAATAAAGTGAAAGTTACAAATAAAAGGGAAGGTAGCATGACATTTAAGCAGCAATCATGAACTAGTGAAAGTATAAATTCTTTGCTATATAAGACCACATCTAGATCCAAGGACAAGTTCCCCACAACAACTGAGCATTACTTTCTGCTAACCTTGCATCATAAGCTGCAGAGGAGGTGCTGACCACATTGATGATGGTTTTACGAGTCTCCAGCAGTTCCTGAGAAAGACAAACAGAGAAAGAAAAACTTCTTTGTTGCAACACAAACTTACCATTCTGCATAAAAGTTCCATGTCCTTTCTGAACCCCAGTCACTGGGCTTTCATTCTCTCCAAAACATCCTCGCCTTCAATTTAGCAACATGCCTATTTACACATTTTTCCTCCTAATTCTATTCTTCCTAAACTCTGATAAATCTCAAGTATGAAATTGGGCTTGATGATTACTCTTTAGGGTGTAATTCCACAAGCATAAAGTATCCTTTAAGTGTGTTTGGGAAATCTGCAGTGGCATCAAAAGCTGCAGGTTCTACTTCCATGAAAAAAGTCAAGAAGTGTATTTATTTGTTAATGCTTTCATTAACAAATAAAGTAAGGTAATCTTTGCCATGTAATTTCATACACATGCAACAGCTTACATTTGGGAAATTCTACAAAACGTGTATGACCAAACAATGAACAGCTTGAATTTTTGACAGATTGGAATATTCTGGATAACTCTTTTAACAGCAAACGTATGCAGAACCCGATATAACTCAAAGCATCAGAATTTCATTGTCAAATTATGTTCTCAGCTTTATAACCAAAAATAACTTTCCAAACTGCATTTTTAAGCCCATGATTTCCTATTTGCCAATTTGGCACCTCAATTTTAAGATACCAAAATAGCCAATCACACCTTTCCATTCTGGACAAAAGTTCTTGCTAAGCAACTGAATCCCAGAATTCTCTAACAGAACCTCATTATCTTATAACATGACTCCAGTTTTCCTTGAAATTCTGTTAGACAAGAATCCCAACAAATTCAACAATTTTCTTTTAAATTCACTTTACCTCCTCTAAATCTTTATACTGCTGTTCAAAGTGATCATGTCCAACTCGGAGAATTTCTAGATCCTCACGCAGTTGTGAATTCAAGACAAGTTGAGAACTGAATTCGGAGGAGATCTGGAAACAGAGACCAGAATGAAGAAAGTTTAGACCATCCACAAATTCTGGCACCAAATCTGGGTATTTCTGACTATTTTTACCTTATCTAGTTGGTTTTCTACTGACTGAATCTTTCTTTGCAAATGGGCTCTCTGTTCCTGGATCATGCTGTCACTTCCCATCATCTGCTTCCGGTCAGCCAAACGGTTCTCCCAGGTTTCGAGCTATTAATAACAGGAAATTAGTTCATGGAAGTAAAATGCAGGTTAGTTTCAGACCCAAGAAATTAGATATTTGGAGAAATCCATCTTTTGCTCTAACATTTGATCTTGGGGTCTAAATGCCAACCCCTGCTGCATTCTTCATCCCTATATTTAACTTAAAGAGGTCTAAATCTTAATTCAGTTTATTCTGCACCAATTTCCAATTTTCTTTTTCTGGATGTGAAAGACATCTGCAAAAAAAAAGAAAAAAAGAAAAAAGACAATACAGATAGTCGTGGACATATGACCATAATGAAACCTGCCCATTACAGTCTTATGTCATGATGGTCATAAAACAAGTCAGTCATGCAACCAGACCAATTTTATGTTTTTCTGCAACAACTGTTAAGCATGGTTTGCTGAAATCCAGAAGTGCTGATTTTCAGCAAAACTGCTGTAAAATGCAGTGATGTGACCACAGAATGCTGAAAACAGCCATAAATGTGGCCGTGTTGCCAAGCGCCCAAAGTTTGATCATGTGACTATGAAGAGGGTCTGACTGTTGGAACTTCAGATCCAAGCCATAAGTCCCTTCTTGGGTCAGCCTAGCTTTGAATAGTCACTAAGCAATCAGTTGTAAGTTGAGGACTACCTGTTTTGTTTTTCCCTAGTGGATGAGGATTGTAATTGCTAGAATTCTTAGCAATATGACCAAAGGGCTGAATATTTTAAAAATTGAAAACCCAATATACCAACTGGATGCTACGTAGCAGACAGCCATCTTAGACATTTCCATACTGCCTCTAAGACCTTGTATCAGCACATGCCTAATCTCTTGTTCTTTCATATCACAACTACATCAACAGCAATAGCTCTTAGACTTATATACCACTTTACAGCCCTCTCTAAGCGGTTTAGTCAGCATATTGCCCCCAACGATCTGAGTTCTCATTTTACCGACCTTGGAAGGATGGAAGGCTGAGTCAACCTTGAGCCTGGTGGGATCCGAACTGCCAAATTGCAGGCAGCCGGCAGGCAGCAGAAGTAGCCTGCAGTACTACATTCTAACCATTGCACCACCACGGTTCATCAAAATTCTAAGGTCCCAGAATCCTAGCTCTTCAACCTGCTGCTTCATCCCATTTTAGAAAAAAACAATTCTTGGTCTTATCCTGTCTCTCTATACCTCTTGATCAAGGCGAGCTATCCGCTTTTTTTCTTTCATTATTTGTTCCTTCACTGCATCCCGTTCAGTCAACAAGGACCGGAGAATTTCACTTTGGGCTTTTTCCTTCTTCTGGTTGGCATGACCTTCGGCCACAGCCTGTTTGTATTGTAGATCTTCATTCTCTTTTTCCAGGCGCTTGACCTCAACCCTGTCCAACAAAGATGAAGTGGGGATTTTCAGAGGTGGTAAAATAGCGGGGCGAGATGCAGCCTGGTGGGCAGGAACGAGATGTTCATGGCCATGATGATGGTGAACTTTGGTTGGGAGTGGTGGCAACGCCAGTTCGGGAGGATTTGTGACACGGGGCAAGGAAAAATTAGAGGGCTAATTTGCATTTGCCTTAGGAAATCTGTGAGCATAATTGTCTGGGGCAGATATGACTGTTGGGATAACAGGACTTGTCGCTGTAAAATAAGCAGGGGAAATAAAAATACATGATTCCCTTAAAGATGGTATAATTTTTGAATGCCTAGATAGAAAACCAGGAAGGAATGTTCTCCTGATAGAAGGTAAAATGAAGTAGTTTAAATAAGATGAAAGAAAGTAGGAATACTGGATTCTCTGGGAATGCAGTGGATTAAAGGGATAGGATAGAGATGGATTAAACCCTGGATCAATACTGCACAATTCTGCAAGCACACATGATGGTGGACACCAATTATTCCTACAAAATGGGTGTATATTTGTATAGCATTGTGTGGGGTAGGCCTCATGGCCACATGGCATTAAATAAAAGCAACTCATGCGCATTCACAATGGTCAATTATATGTTGCTAAGAGTATAGCCGTTGTCATGTGCATCAGCATTATCTCAACATCTGGATCAGCATATGGAAAAAGGAAAGGGAAAAAGAGACTGATTTTTTTTAATGTTTCAATTTTTAGTCTTCTCCATGAAGTAAGGCATATAATATCCAGACTATTTCAAAAGCCAAAATTGGAAATGAGCTCAAAAGATGGAAATCAAAGAATGCATGTGGGGTGTCATCACTAACCAAAAAAAGATGAGGCTAAGAAAGTATGAAATTATGCAGGACTGGAAAATAATAAGGTAAGAAATCAGCTACTCAGCTAAAACATTTAAGGTTGGACACAAACAACATGGACATCTGGGAAGTTAAACTATTTCTAACGCTACTTCTAATAATAGCAATTGAAACAGATTTTGCACATTTTCTATAATTTCCAAAATCTATTCAAGTAGGCATATTATGACTTCTATGTGTTTTGAATGTCTGTGGAGATTCTCGGTGGTTCAGGTCATGATTGCCCAAAAGGTGTTTTCTTTCAAAAGGCAACTTGACTTTCCTCCAAGATGTTTTGCTTCTCATCCAAGAAACTTCATCAGTTCTGACAGAATGGTAGAGAACGGAAGGATTTATATTCCTTGAAGTCATGTGGTCCTTACATGACTGCAAGGAATATAAACCCTTCCATTCTCCACCATTCAATCAGAACTGATGAAGCTTCTTGGATAAGAAATAAAACATCTTCTAGAAACTCCAGTTGCTTTTTGAAAGAAAGCTACTTTACCTCTTTTGAAGTTGACACCACTCAATCCCATGGCCAAAATAGGGGCTGAGGTTCAATGCATCTGAAGAATGAAGTTGACATAGCAGTGAGACATTTAAAAAAATATATAACAGATCATGAGAAGCCTCTTGCAAATCATCTTCATTTCTCTTACTTTGCCCCTGATATAAGGTCAATTAATCTATAATGGTTTAACTCTTGCATAAAATGAAAGGAAAACGTAGCTTCTCCTCCCAACCTACACATTCTGAAAGTTTCCCAATACATTTTGAGAAATGAAGAATTGATGAACGATATTCAATGAAATACATACATCTGTCTGCGGATGGTTTCGCGAGATTCCAAGGCATAAGCATGGCGGTCACCTTCTAAAAGGCGGAACTGGCGTTGAAGTTTGGCCAACTCGCCTTCAGCTGGTGGAAGACAATGTTGTGGGAAAGGCAGATAGTAAGAAAGAAAAGTGATTAAGAAAGATAGCCCAGTACAGTAATTTTTTGCTGAGGTCCCCTCCTAATTGCTGAAGGGTGAAGTAAGAACCCTTCTAAAACACCTGTTTATCACACCTGGAGCAAAACACCTGGGGTAGGGATCACTGAGTTTAAGATTGAGAATCTTATCTCTATTTTGTTCTGTGGCCCTATCCAAATAAATAGATTTTATTGTGTAATGAGCAACAAGATGCTTTATGATCTATATATGATCCTCTGCATAGACAGACAGTATCTTCTTTGGCCAATATTAATTTTCTGGATCAAACTAATTTTCAAGCTCCAGTTTTTGTGCCTAGACAAAAAATATTGAGGGCTTATATGTGGTCACCAATTACCTTTTTGTCTTTGCTAAACCTATAATTATGTTATAAAAAGCATTTTTAAGAATGCAGAGAGCTAGACTTTTCGGCTGAAATTCAGTTTTGTCCCTGCCCAATCAATACATATCACTGTCTTATCACAACCCTCCTACACTCTTTGAAGACCCTCTAGCCTAGATTGTTCCCTGAAGTTTAACCAGTTGCCATAAAATCAGGACAGTTACTCTTGTACTCATATATCAGAATATTTTATTTTCCACCATTCATAATGCACCTGCCAAGAATACCAAAATCTATATCATCTCACACATTTCCATATGAAACCTAAGCAATGGGGAAATTTCTGCTTTTCTCCAGGACACCTTCTGAATTTCATTCAGATCATATGCAATGGCACGAGTAGGGAACTATGGCCCTTATGACCTGTGAACTTCAGCTCCCAGAATTCTGGGAGTTGAAGTCCATAAGTCATAAAAGAGCCATAGTTCCCCACCTTTATGCTATGGAGTCAAACTGTCTAGATCAGAGATAAACAACATAATGTTCAGAAACACTAAACACTATCTTACTCGCTAACCTCGTAAGTCCTCTGCCCCATATGTTTTGCTTTTCCAGAAAAAAAAACACATTAAAAAAGTAGATGAGAAGCTGGCTTGTTGAAAAGCATTGTCTTTACTTAGAATAATGTATCAAGGCCTTATAGGGTTTGTTTGAAAATAAAAATAATGGTGCTTCTTCTGAACATGTGACTAGAAAAAAAGACTTGGCTAGAAAAAAAGGAAGAATTTGTTTATGCTCCTAATCTGATCTGGATACATGCTTTATTCCATCCCTCTGCCTCTGTTTCTGTCTTGCTTTGGACAGTCTGAAATCAAGGATAGTCAGATTTAGTTGCTCACTCACAGTTTAATGACTCACTCTCTGGGTCCTCATACTACCAGAGACTCATGCCCCTTAATGCTAGTAAGGACTTTTGTGTTTCAGCCTGCTTTAATTTAGTTCCAATTTCAAAACCAATATACAATGAAGAGCACTAGTTCACAAACCATACCAAGGCATGTGGAAAACAGCCACAATGCCCTGGTTCTGTTTCTTTGGCCCCTTTATTATTGGAATACAAAGAGCTTATTTCTTGCCTGTTCATTTTCAAAAGCTGGCTTCCTTGGCAGCATTTTAATCTGGCTTGAGAATGAGCTCTCCCAATCTCTTCCAGTCAAAAAGTAACGGAATATTATCAATTGATTCAATGGGGAGACATGCAAAGATCCTTTTACCTCTATTTTAGTTCCCCGCCCTATTTTGCACTATTGTTTGCTCAGCTCAGCAAGAAGCTGTTTTAACCAAGCACATCTGCACACTTTACTATACAGCCTACATTTTTCAACTTTTTTCTCGAAAGGTTTCACAGCTTTCCATCGCAATACATCAACATTTTTGAAACAAAACCACAGCAACACCTCCAGTCAAATACCCTTTATGAAACTGTCAAGCTATATTTGAAATGAAGATGATACAGATATTTTATAACATATTTAGACCGAGAAAAACTGCAGCACATAAAATAGACGATGAAATTCTGGGAAACCTTCGGTAAATCTAAATGTCAAAAATACACTTGTTCTAAGTCCTTAGCTATTGCCTGCCAAATCTTTTGATCTATGGGGATAAAGGGCTTTCCAACAGGATAGAAAAGCAGGGAGAACTTGAATTATGATGGCAGATCATCCATTAGTGATTTAAAGTCACAGTTATCCAACTCTCATGCTAAAATATTGTACTGTATTGCATTGCATTGCATTGCATTGCATTGCATTGCATTGCATTGCATTAGCAACTCAATGACAGCAGGATACCAATAGAAATTACTCTCAAGTCACTGCTAGAGATATGGTTTGCAAGGATAAACAAATTCCAATTTTTTTTGGATCACAACCTGACAGTCACTTTGGAACAACCACTGTCTCAGTCAGCTAGGCAAAATTTCATCATACCTTCACCAAATTCAGATATTAGCTAACAGTATATAACTAACTGTGAAAGTTTCTTCTCATAGTCAGCAAAAAGAGTACTAATGTCAATTATTAGAGACCTAGTATAGTTCATCATTATCATACAAATAAAATAGTGGTTTAAATACATTTGACCTAGTCCAGTGGATTTTTAAGTTCCTAGTATAAACAAACTGAAACAAATAACATGAACTGTAAGATATCTCCTTGCTCTCCTATTTCAACACTTAAATCATATTACAGGCCAGTTTCAGAGACTCCAATATCTTGAACCCCAATGTAGAATCTGACAGTGCAGATGGTTCCTACTACTGCGATAACTTTGTCTTCTCCCTTAAAAGTTACCCATATCTTCTAGGTTCCATCATCATCAATATCCTCTTCTTTCTCTTGGACATTACCTATGCCTTCTAGGTCCGCATCACTACCTTCCGAACGAAGGCTTGTGGCAGACTTGAAGAATGGCATCTTCAATTTCTAACTGCTGAAAGAAAGAGAATTCAAAAACATTATATCACTTTCTGAAATTGTTTCATGAAGATAGCGTGTGAAAAATGGATAAAAGCCTCAAACTGCAATTAAGGAGCCCCAAATTCAAATCTGCTCTGTCATAACATTTCCTAGGCTCCAGTTTTGCACATCATGCTGAGCCATTGTGTTACGCCTCTGGCTTAGCATGTTGAATAAATTTACATATTGTTCTAAAGCTGATTTATGACTTGGCATGTGATACAAATCCAATCAATTTGTTTTCTCCAAAAACAACTTTATGCAAACCATGGAACTGTAGAATGTGCCTTAACCACAAGCCTGTTTTGTTCTTTTTGTTTAGGGATGAGCAAATGTAGTTTTGCAAACTGCTGTTGGATTACAACTCCTATAATGACTCTTTATTGCCTTAGCCACTAAGAGTTGTTGGTGTACAGCAGGGCTTCTCAACATTGACAATTTTAAGAAGTGTGGACTTCAATTCCCAGAAGTATGGACTTCAACTCCCAGAATTCCCTGGCCAACATGGTTGGCCAGAGAATTCTGAAAGTTGAAGTCTGTGCCTTAAAATTGCCATGGTTGAGAAATTTCGATCTACATCAGCAGTGTCAAATTCAATTTCATTGAGGGCCACATCAGGGCTGTGGTTGACCTCGGGGGGGGGGGGGGGGGGGGTAGGTATGGCCGACTTGTTGGGCATGGCTAGCTTGATGCCTCTCCCCAAACTGCTGGCATGTTTCTTCTTCACATTGGGTAGACTGGGCCGAACCCTTACATTTTCCAGGACAGCGCTGTAGGTAGTATCCAACCACATCATGGGCTGTATCCAGCCCACGGGCCTTGTGTTTGACACCTCTGATCTACAGTTTGAAGATCATGTTTTAACTTATATAACCATTCAAACAATATGGGTGGGAGATGCCCATATGCACTGTCCTAAATCCTCTGAAGGAAGAACAGATTAAAATACAAATGGCTATCATTTAAATGGCAATGATGAAACAACAAATTAAATACCTTTTCCTCAGGGATGGGCTTCAAAAATCTTAGCAACTAGTTATCTGCCTGGTTGCTGGGTGGTCGTGGCCATGGTGGGTGTGGCCTAGTCGGCCTCCTGCACCCCAGTGGAGGAGGGCATTTTTGCCTTCCCAAGGCTCCGGAGGCTTTCCTCAAGCCTCTGGGAGGGTGAAAACGGCCTCCCCCGGGGCT